GACAAGTCCGACACATGACATACTTCAGCTGTAATTAACCTTACAATTTGGAGTTCAACTTCTGAATACAAAACTGACATAATATTTCAAATTTCTTTACCTATTTTGACATCATAGCTTCATTTAGTTGTGACGCACCTGACGCACATATACACCACAAGAGATTAAAAGATCCTCTCACATGTGGACAAGTCTGACACATGACATACTTCAGCTGTAATTAACCTTACAATTTGGAGTTCAACTTCTGAATACAAAACTGACATAACATTTCAAATTTCTTTACCTATTTTAATATCATAGCTTCATTTAGTTGTGACGCACCTGACACACACATATCACAAGAGATTAAAAGATCCTCTCACATGTGGACAAGTCCGACACATGACATACTTCAGCTGTAATTAACCTTACAATTTGGAGTTCAACTTCTGAATACAAAACTGACATAACATTTCAAATTTCTTTACCTATTTTAATATTATAGCTGTGGTTAGTTGTGACGCACCTGACGCACACATATATCACAAGAGATTAAAACATCCTCTCACATGTGGACAAGTCTGACACATGACATACTTCAGCTGTAATTAACCTTACAATTTGGAGTTCAACTTCTGAATACAAAACTGACATAATATTTCAAATTTCTTTACCTATTTTGACATCATAGCTTCATTTAGTTGTGACGCACCTGACACACACATATCACAAGAGATTAAAACATCCTCTCACATGTGGACAAGTCTAACACATGACGCTCTTCAGCTGTAATTAACCTTACAATTTGGAGTTCGACTTCTGAATACAAAACTGACATAACATTTCAAATTTCTTTATCTATTTTAATATTATAGCTGCGGTTAGTTGCGACGCACCTGACGCACACATGTATCACAAGAAATATATTCAAATTTATGTATTTGGTATTCGAGGAGTCGTAAATTTTGGAGTTTGAATCATTCTCGGACGTTGATACCCGACGAGCATACCATCCATTCGCCGGAACGCTAGCTTTCACGAAGAATAAAGTTTTCTGCGGATGTTACGTTTACGCAGGCGACCCCTCATCCTTATCTTCGTCCATTACCCCAACGACAACGTAGCCCCGTAGGGAGAAACGTTTTCACGGCTGTCTGCGTGTCGGCGAAAAACGCTGCTCTTTGCATTTTCCGCGTTGCCCGCCGCGAAACACGCTCGCTGAATTCCGCCCGCTTTTCTGCGCACTGTGCAACATCTCCAATCGTGATCGACCTGAAAACCGAACCGTTTCTCTACCCTCGATTCTCTTGATAAATTAATTTTCCTTCTCGTAACATTATTGTGAATTATAGAGAACATTTTTGTAGTTCATTTTTCGTACCATGTATTAATCTACGTAATGGATAGTAAAAATGATAAATAGTAAAAATGATGAATGTTAAAAATGTGCGATGAATGAGATAAATTGGACTTTATAATAAATGCAATATTAATGTCCATAATGAATAATAAAGATAAATTGAACATTTAAATAAGTACAATATTAATGTCCATAATGAATAATAAAGATAAATTGAACATTTAAATAAATACAATATTAATGACTATGGGGAACAATAAATATAAATTAAATATTACATTAAGTGTTATATAAACGTGCATAACGAAAGGTAAATTAAACATTATAATAAATGCAATATTAATGTCCATAATGAATAATAAAGATAAATTGAACATTATAATACAATATCAATGAATATAACGAACAATAAAGACAAATTGAACATTATAACCTGAATAGTAATACAGAATTGAATTCGAAACGATTAAAAGCCGACGAAATTCATAAACGAATACGACAATTTAACATCGTACAAATAAAAGACATTACCGCGATTTTCTTCCAAATTACAATTATGAAGGTGATTTCGCGGAACGGTACTTTTTAAAACGTTCATCAAAAGCAGAAACGATGTCGAGCCGTTCGGTTGACGAGGATCGACCGATGGAAATGATTTCCGTCTAAATCGCCGGCCACTTCCGTCAGAGCTCTTTTTAATCCTCGGATTTTGAATTAAATATTTCAGCGGGACAGTGACGCGGTCGCTCGTTTCCCAGGCCGTTTAATCTCAGGCTGACCGTAGTGTCAAATCGATGTGGAATGTAGGTCGAATTCGGCTTACCCGAATTGATTTCTCCGGTTTCTGAATTATTGTTACTCGCGCTTCTGCTGAACTGTCGTTATTGCATTTTTACAAACAACCTTACTGAAAGTGTCCTTTCAAAACCTAACTCGTATTATCCTTTTAAAAAACCTAACTGATATTGTCTTTTAAAAAACCTAACTGGTATTGTCTTTTAAAAAACCTAACTGGTACTGTCTTTTAAAAAACCTAACTGGTATTGTCTTCTAAAAAACCTAACTAATATTGTCTTTTAAAAAACCTAACTGGTATTGTCTTTTAAAAAACCTAACTGGTACTGTCTTTTAAAAAACCTAACTGGTACTGTCTTTTAAAAAACCTAACTGATATTATCCTTTCAAAAAACCTAACTGATATTGTCCTTACAAAAAACCTAACTGATATTGTCTGCCCAAGAAAGTTAATTAGTGTCATCTTTTTCAAAATGGTCAATTGATATCGTTTTTTCAAGAATGTTATCTAATAACGTCCTTTCAAAAAGCATAACTGGTATTGTCCTTTCAAAAAACCAAACTGGTATTGTCCTTTCAGGAAACCTAACTGGTATTGTCTACCAAAGAAAGTTAATTAGTATTGTCTTTTTTAAAAGGTTCAACTGATATTGTTTTTTCAAGAATGTTATCTAATAACGTCTTTACAAACAACTTAATGAAAATTGTGCTTTTAAGAAACCTAACTGGTATTGTTCTTTTAAGAAACCTAACTGGTATTGTCTGCCCAAGAAAATTAATTAATATTGTTTTTTTCTTTTAAGAAACCTAACTGGTAAGAAACCTAACTGGTATTGTTCTTTTAAGAAACCTAACTGGTATTGTCCTTTCAGAAAACCTAACTAATATTGTCTGCCCAAGAAAATTAATTAATATTGTTTTTTCAAAAGGTTTAACTAACATTGTCTTTTTAAGAAAGCTAGCTAATAATGTCTTTATAAGCTACCTAACTAAACTTGTCCTTTCAAAAATCCTAGTTGATATTGTCTTTTAAAAAACCTAACTGGTATTGTCTTTTAAAAAACCTAGCTGGTATTGTCTTTTAAAAAATCTAACTAATATCGTCTTTAAAAGAATCAAATTAGTAGTCCTTTACGAAAGTGTCGAAAGGTAGAATCCTCTAAATAAACGTATGTGGATTTGTAGGACCACAGTATGAATCTCGTTAATTTCCCTATGCACTGTCTTGTTTCCAGCGTGCATTCTGGAAGTGGTGTTGGGTCAACAAGGTCCTGTGTTCGTTCTGGAGCCACCGAGTACCCTGGTCTTTTCAAATACCACAGGCTCACAGTTAAGCTGTTCCGCTCATGGGAGTCCAACACCACACGTCACCTGGATAACCAGTCCTGATCAGAGATCGGTGACCGCAGTTCCTGGACTTAGGTAAGACGATTCAAGTTAAATAGGATCAAAGTTGCATATCTGAATACCTCGGAACACGTAAGTTTGCTTTGGTGGAGGAATAGAAAATTTGACTGGATATATTGATAGAATAGAGAACTTTAGTGGTTTATTTGTGTATTAAAATAGAGATGTCAATCGGGGTTGGTGGATGGTAGTTGGTAGATGAGATTTTTAGAGGAGTTTGTTAGAATCAGATACTGTTTTTGATCGGACACAAAGTTTAACACTAGAATGGAAACAAAATTTGATGTTATGGAATGCGAAATCTGATACCAATCATTTTGACTTGATGGTAACAGGTGAAGTAAGACTCCAAGTATGAATAATAAAGAGCAACCAGTATGAGAGGCATCGATAAACATACATACACACTTACAATATTTATAAATAATTTCTATCATTAAATTGCTACATCAACTAGAACAATTAGACAAACAGAAAATATTGCTGAAGCAACTAATAAAACAGAAAAGCTTCTTACATGAATTATTAGAACAACCAACAGTCTGCTGCAGCAACCAACAAAAGTTCCCGCCAAAATATGAAACGGAAACATTTTCCTAATCAATCAGTAAGTAAAAAGATTTGATAGGAGCATAAAATAGTAAAAAGTTTGCAAGAGGTACCAAAAGAGTAGAAGTATTTTCCACAGCAAGCAATGATGTGCAAGAAGATACACTTTGATAAGAAAGCTACCGGACGCGACAAGGCTTTCCATAATTCAGTTTCGGTTATTGTGCTCCGTTCGTAAGAGCCGGTTTTTCCGGCGGAAATACGCGACGCGATTCGTAAGAGAGTATCGCTGGATAGAAACGGGTAAAGCGGATTAACGTGTCCGGATTTCAAACTTTCTAGCCGCTGTAAATTGCGGAGTTCCGAACGCGTTGTTTTGTGAAGTAATGGAACTACGGATCCTAGTTCAACATAATTATACCTCAGCTTCGGAGGAACATCAATTTTTTTCTTGGAAGAGATTCGAACGTCTTTTGGGCATTGGATGATGGGGGTGGTAAAACTGTTGAAGGCGAGGAGATCCGTGGACGAATAGTGTCGTAATTAATTATATACAAAGCACAAAAACTATTTATTTAAGAACGATACAAAATACAATCAGAATAACGTGAGAAGAATAATAGAGAACAAAATTGAATCGAAACATGCGAACACAAGAAGGAACGAACAATGATGATTAACATCGCTAGATGGAGACAAATGTTAATGCTAATTCGTGTATCGCTCTTATATCGCTTTTATCTCCAATAAAAACGTGTGAGGTAAAAGATGTGAAATGTTGAAGATGGAGAGTGGGAATTTGGGATGTGTGGGAATTTGGATATGTGGGGTTTGGGATATGTGGGGAGTTGGGATATGTGGGAATTTGGGATGTGTGGGAATTTGGGATATGTGGGAATTTGGGATATGTGGGGATTTGGGATATGTGGGAATTTGGGGTATGTGGGAATTGGGGATGTGGGGATTTGAAATATGTGGGGATTTGGGATATGTGGAGATTTGGGATATGTGGGAATTTGGGATATGTGGGAATTTGGGATATGTGGGAATTCGGGATGTGGGAATTTGGGATGTGGGGATTCGGTATGTGGGAATTGCGGATGTGGAGATTTGGGATATGTAGGGATTCGATACGTGGGGAATTCGGATATGTGGGAATTTGGGATGTGTGGGAATTTGGGATGTGTGGGAATTTGGGATATGTGGGAATTGGGGATGTGGGGATTTGGGATATGTGGAGATTTGGGATGTGTGGGGATTTGGGATATGTGGGAATTTGGGATATGTGGAGATTTGGGATGTGTGGGAATTTGGGATATGTGGAAATTGGGATATGTGGAATTTGGGATATGTGGAATAAGAGATATGTGGAATTTGGGATATGTGGAATAAGAGATATGTGGAATTTGGGATATGTAGAAATTGGGATATGTGGAATTTGGGATATGTGGAATTTAGCATATGTGGGAATTGAGATATGTGGGAATTTGTATATGTGGGAAGTGGGATATGTGGGAATTTGGGATATGTGGGAATTTGGAATATGTGGGAATTCGGTATATGGGAATACGGAATGTGGGGATTTGGGATATGTAGGGATTCTGGATGTAGCCATGACACTGAAACACTACTAAAATCAATAATAAAAAAACATTATCAAAATCAATTACACGAAGTAATCAGTGTATAAGCATTACCTAAATACGAACTTTGTGAAAGAGTTACCGAATATCTTTTAAATTGAAAGGAAGCTAATCTTCTCGGAAGTTTGTCGTAAACGCGGTGATGGTTTGATCGGAAGTTTCGGGGATACAACGACCGCAACCCCGAGATCGCGTAAGATTCGTATTATATTGGAAGTTTGATGCTGTACTCTAGGCAATACCGTAACTGTGGCACCTGGGGAAACTATTTCCTCCCGGTAATTGAAATGTTCCTTATCCAATGGTCGTCTAGTAAGTTTGCTCGCCACCTAACATTTCGCTGTTAAACGAAAATTCACGTTCACGATCAATTATCAACCACGGCAACGTGTTGCCAACCGAAAGATCCTCTTATGCAACTTCTTGCTTGTCACATATGCATATGAACATTTCTATGCACTATTCTATGCACTTTATTCAACATTTTTTATATTCAACAATTATTATTATTATATAATATACTCAGTTATGTTTCAAATAATTAATCAAGTTCTTAATTTAATTTTATAATATATAACAATTCAAAGTTGAACTCTAATCATTACATTAACAACTTTTATATAATCTAATTTCTAGTTGGAATTTCTTACAAAATGAATTGATATGTTGATAATGATTAATCAAGTTCTTAATTTAATTTTATAATATGTAACAATTCAAAGTTGAACTCTAATCATTATTTTAACAACTATTGTATAATTTAATTTCTAGTTAGAATTCCTTACAAAATGAATTGATATATTGATAATGATTAATCAAGTTCTTAATTTAATTTTATAATATGTAACAATTCAAAGTTGAACTCTAATTATTATATTAACAACTATTTTGTAATTTAATTTCTAGTTAGAATTTCTTACAAAATGAATTGATATGTTGATAATGATTAATCAAGTTCTTGATTTAATTTTACAATATGTAACAATTTAAAGTTGAACCCTAATCATTCAATTATTAAAATTCATTAAAAAATGAATTTTTCTTAATTCAATAAATGATCAGTACATAAAGTTATAAATACAAGTACAAGCGATTGAAAAATTGAAATAAGAAATGATTAGTTGATTGAAGTTTGTAAATTATTTGCGCACAAAGAGTATCCCATTCGATATCAATAGCTGATAAATCAATAGCCATAGGTACTTCTCGATTTAATCGTTCCTGAAGGGTTTAAATGAACGGTAATTTCACCCTTTTCCCCTCCAGCCGTTTTCTATACGCTCAGACATCAATCGGTCCGATCAGAAAAGAGAAACAAGCATATTCTTGAAGTAGGAACTCGAGACCGACGGCGAGGGTTCAAAACCGCAAAGAAGTTGAAAAAATTGCAAGGTAAAGCAAACCCCTTTGGCCCGTTCATCCCCAAACAGATTCCCTTTTTACGTTCGATCTTCGTTTTCCATTCAACTATCGCATCCCATGAAACTCGTTGCCAGATATCCGGATTCTGATACATCGATCGATTAGGGGTGCTGGAAAACCCTCCAGGACCAGCTTTCGGTATACGAGACGAGCGGAAAGGATGTGGGTGGGAATTGGTCGGATAAAGTGAAACGAAATCGATAACAGTCTCGGCGAAGAATAAACGCAAATGAACGAGGATGTGGCGAGACTGCGGTAAATACACGCACAAACTGCTTAACGAGATTGACGTTCTACACTTTCTTCATTTTCAAGTTTTACACATTTTCGAAAAGTCCACCCTCACAAATTTTCCACTTATGCATTTCGTCTTCGTATTTTTCTGGTAAAACGCGCACAAACTGCTTAAAGAGATTGACGTTCTACACTTTCTTCCTCTTCAAATTTTACACATTTTCGAAAACTCCACTTTCACAAATTTAACAATTATCCACTTCGTCTTCGCATTCACCAGTTTTCTTAATTTGCATGTTTTGAAATATACAAATTTATTAATTTATTATCTTATCGAGTCCTAACTTTAATTTTTCGGTTGTTCAACTTCCTCAAGTTCTAATTTAACCACCTTCTCTAACATTGAAACTTACATTCATATTTCTGAATATGAAGAATAGTCAGCTCACAGCCTTTTTAACACTAAAACTATCAAATGATCGCTCTGTTACCGTGAAAGATCGAAATCTGGTGAATGTCGACGTTCACATAGTCGCTTGGTGTATGTCCGAAATATTTGCTAAATACCCTTATTTCTGACTTACACCGGTAAATGTCGACATTCGCCATGCACTAATGGTGAACGTTGAACATGTCGGAGATTTATATTTTCTTTTCCGTAATTCAGTCGCTATAAAACGTCACAAGGGTGACGTAACTTTTTCGCCTCTCTTTCTGAGAGGAGAGACCAAGAATTTAAAACACATAGTACATTCTAAGCATACGTGTTCTTCCTCCGTGGCCTATTCTGGCGTGAGTTTCATATAGTATACTGAACAATTCTTCATTGGTAACATAATACTGTATATTCGTTTCCCCTGATTTTAATGGTACAATTAATTTCCTTTCATCATTAATTTTTAAAACGTCAAAACGTTTTAATCGTCCGTAATCCAAAGGTGTGTTGCACTTAGTTTTAGCAGAATTTATATTTTCTTCTCCGTAATTCAGTCGCTGTAAAACGTCACAAGGGTGACGTAACTTTTTCGCCTCTCTTTCTGAGAGGAAAGACCAAGAATTTAAAACACATAGTACATTCTAAGCATACGTGTTCTTCCTCCGTGGCCTATTCTGGCGTGAGTTTCATATAGTATACTGAACAATTCTTCATTGGTAACATAATACTGT